AATCTCTACCAATGTTTGCTTCGCGTACAGCATACTGGTTGAAACGCTTTTACAGCAAAACAGTATCGGCATCAAAAGCTCATTTCTCTATCTGAGCATAACCAAACTTCGGCGTGGTAGTAAGAAGACTTAGATGCATACGCCACAGGGCGTTCCTCCTGTAGAACTACTGCACCCAGGACCATATTTTGATGCATCCGACTCTGCAGACAGGGTATCTTTCGAGGGATCAAAATATCCAACACAGGACTGACCTGTGTTGAGGATCTCTTTCACTTTTCTGAAATGCAATCGTGCTGAGCATATCATCGGCCTATAGAAAAACTGCATCCTTGGCCATGCAATTGGCCTTAAGGGCTTCGTGATCTGCATGCTTAGATTTGGTGAGAACTTGCGATAAGGTAAGTGATCACATTCCTAACAGAATTTGCTTTGTTCCCTGGGGCCTGCATACCGCAATAGATCCTGTATACTTGCTGGATCAGGCTTCGACAGCCCATCACTGAGGCTGTACAACGGTGCCAAAGAAAGGGAAACATCATCACAGGATGAGCTTATATGACCGCACACCAGCTTATCGCTTATTAAGCTTTATTGCCTCTCCGCACAACGCTTCAACAGACTGCCTTAAATTGCGATCGGTGGCTCGGTCGACAGTCCGCCCATGAAGACTAGGCAACGTGCGTCAAATATATCACCTCACCACACATACCAAGTCTCTAAAGGATTTCATCGCATCTGCCCTCTGAAATTCGCTTGCGAAACAATAGCCAGAGCCAAAAGGTAAACGCTTGAACTTTTATACCTCCCAAACGGAGTATTGCACGTCCGTTAAGCGAGGGACGATTCTTCTTACCAACAAGCTATCGCGACGCTAATAACGACTGATCGGCAGTACCAGCTTAGAGAAATACTTTGCCCCGCGTTAACAACAACAGGTAAGATATCGCTCTAGCGTACGCATTGGGTTTATGTGGACGAGCATATGGCGCTTATTTCAAATCTTTCGGGATCAATGGCACATGCTCTCAAGTCACGCAGTCCTGGGCCTTACTCTACGACAAAAACAATAGATTGACGTCCATTGCAGTGGCTCCTCAACATTCTTCAATCACGCCCGCAAAGACTTCTCATTGCGATCAAGTTTGCTTTCTTAAACGTTGTCTCTGAAGAGCAATGACGGGACGGCGCACGCTCGGTGGGTGTACACTGGAATCGCATCGCATCGTGAACCATGTACCGCTACACTTTTGAGGCAGAGTACCGATTCCCTCAAACACTGGACTAAACTCGCGACAATATGGCTATCTGCAGATTTGTCTGTTTCCCCCTCCTCTTACTATCCACAGCTAGAGTAAGCTTTAATCAGACCTAAAGCCACACAGGTATTGCAGACTGCCAACAATAAACGGGTAGTTACTGGTAATCAACAACGTAGAAACTCAGCAGCCGAGGGGCGAATTTTGCGCACTGTAGCTACATTAAACTGACAAACAGGCCAAATAGTCTTGCAGGCTCTGATTACCGTAACCATATATCGTTTGGCCTGGGGGGTGGTAAAGGGCGACATTACCTAACTGATGCGGTGTACAGTCTTCGGTATAATGTTTAACTTGAGACCCAAGTGTCAAGTTTAAACACTAAGAGCTTCCTTCATCGGCCGTACCCGAACCCAACTCAACCGTCAGCAAATGCGCTGGTCATCGTAAGCTCATATTATCCGCTCTCAACGGTGTCCAAGCATAGAACTCAGCAATCAACCGACTGGCTTCATTCACTCTGAACTTATAACTCACGTAAGGCAATTCAAGCCACCATTGCATGCGGCATTTCCCACTTCGGGTGCCGTCAACAAGGCCAGTTACGACACACTTTCGCGAAGTGAAAGTCCACTGTTCTACATCTGTTGGCACTCACTGATCTCTATAATAGTAATATTGATTAACTAATATTATATATATATATATATATACACTATATATTATAATATTAATATTATAATATATATAATAATTATATTATAGAAGATCAGTGTTTGCACTGCTTTCACTTTCGCGCGCATGTCTGTTTCGCCACGCGTGGACAATAAGCCACATTTCCCGCAGCCGCTTTCCGCTGGAACGTGATTGTTCTTGGCGCGAAACGGCTGTTTCGCTCTCTGTTCGTGCTCGTTAGGTTGGGCGGTTTGCGTTGCGGTTGCGGTTTTCGGTTGCGGTTGGCTGTTGCTTGCTCGCTCGAGCGCGCGTAACTGCCTATGTTGGCGCTGCTTCACGCGACATGTGATTCTGCTGGCATTCCTGTAGGCTGACATGCGACGCGCTCATCTGCTCCTGTGCATACTTCGAATTGCTGGGCGGCAATAGTGATTGCCTTCTCGCATAGTCAGTTTTCTCCCTCGTTCACCAGCTTCTCCTCTGAACCGTTAAACTGTTTCGACGATACACGAAATACAATTCCGGGTCCCGTATCATCTCATCGCTAGGATCCCTGTAATGTCGCAATGCCTTTCAAAGAAGCTCGAAGCCTGGTTATGAACTGGCTCTACTGACTGCTCTCGAGCTGACCTCCGTTATTAAAACTTGTACCTGCGCAAATATCGGTTTAATTCGGCTTGTATGTACGACTGGAAACTCGCGTAGTAGGTAGATAGTTTTTCGCGCACGTCTTCCGTAACGCTCCATGTGTTTATAAATCTCTCTTCCCTCTGTCTCAATCCACAGCATGAAATACTTGCCATTTCAACTGCATCGTCCAACCGCAACCGCAACCGCAAGCGAAACCGCAACCGCAACCGAGAGCAGAACAGAGAGCGAAACAGCCGTTCGCGCCAAGAACCAATCACGTTCCAGGAAAGAGGTGCGGGAAATGTGGCTATTTCCACGGTGTGAAACTGACATGCGCGGCGAAGGGAAAGCAGTGCAACAGATGTAAACAGTGGAATCACTTCGCGAAAGTGTGTCGTAATGCTGTTGACGGCACCCGAAGTGGAAATGCGCATGCAATTGTGGCTGAATTGCCTTACGGTGAGTATAAGTCAGAGAATGAGCCAGTCGGTGATGCTGAGTTCTATGTTGACACCGTTGAGAGGGATAATAAAGTTACGAATGACCAGGCATTTGCTGAGGTTGAGTTGGGATCGGGTAGGGTGAAGGAAGTTGTAGTGTTTAAACTTGACACTGGGTCTCAAGTTAACATTATACCGAAGACTGTACACGATCAGTTAGGTAATGTCGCCCTTACACCCCCCAGGCAAACGATATATGGTTACGGTAATCAGAGCCTGAAGACTATTGGCTGTTGTCAGTTGAAGTGTAGCTACAGTGGAAATTCGCCCCTCGGTGCTGAGTTCTACGTTGTTGATACCAGTAACTACCCGTTATTGAGTCTGAATACCTGTGTGGCTTTAGGTCTGATTAAAGTTACTCTAGCTGTGGATAGTAAGAGGATGGGGGAAACAGACAAATCTCCAGATAGCATATTGTCGGAGTTTAGTCCAGTGTTTGAGGGAATCGGTACTCTGCCTCAAAAGTGTAGGGTACATGTTAGATCGGATGCGATTCCAGTTGTACACCCACCGAGGAGGGTCCCGCATGCTCTTAGAGACAAGTTTAAGAAAGAACTTGATCGCATGAGAAGTCTTGGGGTGATTGAAGAAGTGAGGGAGCCCACTGAATGGGTGAATTCTATTGTTTTGGTAGAGAAGCCCAGGACTGGTGACTTGAGAGTGTGCCTTGATCCGAAAGATTTGAATAAGGCCATTGCTCGTCCACATCACCCAATGCGTA